ACCATATTGACTGTTTTGTGATTTGAAACTAGTCAAATATTTTGCCAATTTTTATCTTTATTTGATTTTACTTCATTATATTTTTGCATTAATTTCAAACTTGTTTGTTAAAACCGCATATTTGTAAATATCTATCGATAGGCAATCTACGAATTTTTATCAAGGTTTTTCCGTTTATGGGGAATTAAATATTTGGCTGTCTAATTAGGGTCGCACGTACCTACTTGAGATATATACTTATCGTAAGAATGTGTTAGTGGCACTGACCTCGCATAATCTAATCTATTATAAATAGGTAGGTTTATTTACCCCAATTTCCAAATAATGGTTGAAATAATACATTTTTGGTTTCGGTTATGAATTTGTGCAATAAAATTATTGATATATCTAATAAATACGTTTAAATTACTTTACTTTATTCCCCAAATATTTTCGACGTTTTTTTGTAAATATTTGTCATACAGTGTGTCTACTTAAGTTGAAATCATATGGAAAACTATTTTAATATTGGTTTTTTGAAATGTTTTATTCTTGATTAAAAGTTCTTCATGGTCCAAAACTTAAAATGCAACCATCAGATATCAATTTTTTTAAGCGTATACGAGGTTTGTCAAAAAATATGAATTTTTATTCCAGAGTAAAGTACCTTTATTTTTTTACAATACAGAAGAATGTTATAAAGATATTTTGAATTAAAAGTTATATTCAAATATGAAATTACAGTCATTTAGCATGAAAATTCAGATTAGGTGATTATTTACGTTTTTATACGTTTTATAAATTGTAGTTATAAATTAAATAATCACCAAACCTACATTTTAATGCTAAATTGCTGTAATTGCATATTTGAATATAACTTTTAATTCAAAATAACTTTATAACATTCTTCTGAATTATAAAAAATATTTTCGACGTTTTTTGGTAGTATTTATATTTCCACCATATGGGAAACTTTTTTATTATTCCCTAACAACACTGACCTGCTGGAAACATCGCATTTAGTTCCTATGTATATTTCTATGTTTCTGACATAAAGGGTACGTCCCTACGATGATTCTAAAGGAACGTTTCTGGAATGATTTCTCAAGAACGTTTTAGAAACATCGTAATTATGTATAGGTAATATTTTTAAGACTAATGTTCTATAAAAAAAAGTAATGTATATGTACGGTAATAATGAAGCATATTACGTTACATGTCTTCCGATATATAATATTGTTCCTTACATGTACTTAACTCATTACATCACCTATAAAGAACCTGCTATAATATAACAAAATTAGGTATAATTTTTCACAGTAATCACATGAGTTATTATGTAACATGTAAGTTACTTTGTTATGTAACACGGAATAAGTATATGTAAGTGATACATATATGTTACATGTATATGTTTGCTGGACACATATTGAATGCATAACTAACCCATGCCCATTTTGTCAAATTAACATTTTATTTACAGAAAAAACGTCGGCCGAGTGGGCTCGTTTGCCTCTGTAGTGGTTAGGAGGGGAGGGTGAGATGTGGGTGGGAGGAGCGTAGTGTGATCTTATATTGTAAGTGGAAAAAAGACGCGCCCGGCCGACGCTTCGAATTTCGCGAGTTTCGAAACGCCGGCCGGGCGCGCTCTCTTCGCTCACTTTCCTCTGTAGTAGTTAGGAGGTGGGTAAGAGGAGCATAGCTTGATCTTATGATGTAGGTGCTTTACTTTGCTCAGTCTCCTCTGTAATGCTTAGGAGGTGGGTGGGAGGAGCGTAGCCTGATCTTTAGGAGAAACTGTTGCCATGGAAACGCTTCATGCTAAATACTAAACAAAAAACCAAATCCCGTAGTGAGAAAATGCCTGGTTGCCAAATTATAGATGGTTTCATTTTCACTTCAGTTTAGAATAGGATATGTTAGCGAGTTAATCTAAATCTAAGGAGAACTACGCATTTTCTCACCACCGGATTTATCTTCTTGTTTAGTCAACTCCACGACAAGTGCTATGGCAACGGTTTTTCCGTAACCGAATTAAGCTAATGTGAAAATTAAATGACCTGTAACTTGCCAACTATACATTTGAAGAGTGGCCGAGCTAAGTGATCTAAGTGCTAAAATTAAAAATTTTCAGAAAACAAAAAAAAAACAGAGATTATCATGCGGAAAATACAGGCAGCATTCGTTTTGAATGTCGGTTTCAACCACTACGATGAAATTCGCACTTAGATCTTTTAGTGGGACATTCGTACTGGCACATAGGTCATATTGCTATTTAATAATTTATTATTTATTTGAATTATAATAATGTATTGAATCATTCATACCAAAATTATACCTGGAGTTTTGTGCTAAATACTGGTTTTTATCATTTTGATAAAGCAAGATTTATCCGCGGAATTGCGCATTTTAGACCTAAAAAACATATTTAGAGTCTTGCTATGTAATGATTTCCTATTTTTTGGATTATAATAATGTATTGAATCACTTCATACTAAAAATTATACCTAGAGTTTCGTGCTAAATATTGGTTTTTGTCATTTAAATAAAGCAAAGTTTATCCGCGGAATCGCGTATTTTTAAAGACCTAAAAAAAGTATTTGGAGGTCTTGCTATTTAATAATTTATTATTTATTTCAATTATAATAATGTATTGAATTATTCATACTAAAAATTATACCTGGATTTTCGTGCTAAATATTGATTTTTGTCATTTCAGTAAGGCAAGGTTCATCAGCGGAATCGCGGATTTTTAAAGACCTTTAAAACGTATTTAGAGGTCTTGTTATGTAATGATTTATTGTGTTTTTGAATGATACCACTGTATTGAATCAGTCGTCTAAAAATTATATCTGTAATTTCGTGCTAAATACTGATTTTTGATATTTTGAATGTTTTTTCTGCGAAACCGCGCATTTTTAAAGACCTAAAACATGTCTTTAGTAATTATTTTTGTTGGTTTTATTGACTTTAAAGACCTAAAAACTATATTTAAATGTCTTGCTATTTAATGACTTTATTTAGTTTATAGCTAGTAGTGTACTTATCAATTGCTATAAAAATTGTATTTGTAATCTTGTGCTAAATATGTTTCTTGGTATCTCTGTTCTCATAGTCGTTTGACGACAAAACACCTGACTATAAAAAGCCCAAAAAAAACTATTTTAAATCATTTATCGGTCATAATTTTTTGTTTAATCCATTAACAAAAAAGCCTAATGAATATTTGGTATAAAAATTATATTTATAATAGCATTGTAAATGTGTTTATTTCATTCCCGTCTTTTTGTAAAAATATCTAATAATTCAAATTGAATAAATCCATTTTTTTTCAATAAATACATTAATTTTTATCTATTTCTAAACTTTCATGATACTAATGTCCACCTAAACCAAAGATTTTGCCGAATAACAATATCAAAACATGAAGTGACCGCCGCGCGGTTTGTCTGCTAGCTTCAGCCTCATCCCTGTATGACCGGGTAGCGGAGAATTTAGAGTGAACGGTTATGTTGAATGAGTCAAATAGTAAAATGATTTTGTAACATTGTATTTCTAGAAATTACTCAAAAATGTCATGTGAAATGTCAATAAGTTATAAAAACTTACAAAGGATTACTGCTTAATTTTATAAACAATTGTACCCAGGGGCGGCTTGTGACCAAAATTTTGGGGGTTCACAGTACCAGAATATAGATAGAACTGTCAGTGTTTTAGAAAGGTATATTATAAACTTTCTAAAACACTGTAAGTTTTTTCATACATCTGTACTGATAACCTATATTCTGTTACTGTGAACCACCCCACGATACGCCACTGATTGTACCTATAAGCTGATATGATCAGATATTATTCTCTGATCTGTGTTAGGAGCTGGGGAGCGATATTTGATATAGATTCTGGTATTTTATCACAAAATTCTATTATTTTTATTTAAATAAACAAATCAAAAAAGTAGAATAATATACGAATTTACAAATTAGTTATATCTTCTTAGATATTAAAATACTTGGCAACCCTGTACACATATGTCAAAATACTTAATTCAAAATGTGCAATTTTTGAGGTTTTAACATTAAATTTCTCGCTTAATTGTGAATAATCTCCAATTTTTTTAAATTCATGATATATAATTTCTCTACTTTCTAATAGTACAAAAAATATTTTGAAATTCGTCTTTTAAGTCGAATGTAACCGGATTGCTTATACCGCCTACGAAAAAAATGTATGTCAAAAAGCGGTCAAAAAACGAAATATTTGTGGTATGCGGCGAAAACCGTCACCTTTTGATTCCGCGAACTTCACCAGTGCATTTTAAAAATTTCAATATTAACTAGCGAATAAAATCTATTCTAAAAACCAACCCCGTCTATCTACTTCACTGGAAGTCAAAATCATACGATTGGATTAAAGGTTTAAAATTATTACGTTTTGGAACACGTGGTTCCCTGATAGAATAAACATTAATCAGTTTTACATTCACACTATGTTTAGACGAATAAAAATAAACGAAATGCTATCAATAAATTATTAGAATTTAGTTTTTTTTATCATTTTAAACGTTCTAAAACATGACATTTATTTACAGGTTGAAGTACTTCCTAATCTCAGATCTCAAGGCGGAAACCTTTATGACATGAATTTATGAATTTTATTATTAATAATAATAACCATGACAAACTGCATTAATAGTTAGAGCGATAAGATTTTATCATTTTATTCAAGCAAACAAATAAGTAGGTACCTACTACCTACCTATCCTACTAAGCACTAAGCTAAGCATGATTTCTTATTTTATAAATTAAACACAAGAAGTTAATGAACTAGGGTACCTATCAACCGGTAATATCCGACAGCCGAGTAAACTTGACCCACTAACCGTAACCCGTAAACTCGATATTACAAATATGCATAGGCATTTAGGTAAAATAGGCATAATAATGATGTTTTCATTCAAAGGTATGGTCTCATTCAACGAATTAACTAACCTCAAAAAAATTATATGTGATTTAAAAACTTACCATCATTGTATGTTTCTTGAGCCATTTCCGTATAATTTTCCATGGTATTAATAAAACTTTTCTTCACATTAACACCAGCACCTGTAAGTAAATTTGAATAGTTAAGTAATAATCCAGTATGGTTCAAAGTTGGCCGTGATTTGTGATGCGCCGCCAAAACATAATTTCGCAAGACCGCTACAGCGAGAATCGAGGACTGAGAGCGAGAAGCGAGAAGTGAGAGAACTGTGTTAAGTAAAGTTTTAAGTAAAAAGAATCAGTGTCGTACTCGAAAATTTTATACGGAGTGGCCCAAAAGTCTGGAAACGGACAATTATCTCGTAAATTGCTAATCCTAATTGTACAAAATTTGGGATACACCTATTTTGGGATACGGAGATTTCAGATTTGATATTTGCAATGTTGCCAGATTTGTCGTCTCTCTTATAATATTAGTCACTTTGGTTTTTCAAATTTATCACCCTGTAATTCAGTCATTATTGGAATCTCCTATTCAATACGAGTTCAACCATATGTAACACTTATGATTTTATGTAGTCTGGAAGGTCTTAAATAAATAAAACAATCATGGAGAAATGTGGTAGACGCATTCTACCCTCGATTATGGTACTGTCAACTCACAAATGAAGCACATTTTGAACACTTGATAAAGTAACCATTATGTTAAAAATGTTATAATCTTTCAATTGTTACATTTTAATGTAGTTAAAAATAGTTTGTATTAAAAAATTTATTGAGACAATTAGGCGTTACCAAACTTATTTTATTTTTTTAAGACCTTCCAGACTACATAAAGTGTTGGACATATGGGTAAATTAGGGGGGGCTTAGGGTAAAATTGCCCTAAGTTTTTTTTGTTGGCAGTTTTTACCATTTTTGACTATAAAATTTGAAAAACCCATGATTTCTTTACAATAAAGTTACTTTTGTTGCATCTCGCTAGGACGCACCATTTTCAAGAAAAAAACATTTGACAGTTTCATGATAAGTTATTCGAAAATGTAAACAATAATTAGTATGTCTGTGAAATCAGAAATTTTATTTTTTTTACTTTGGAAAAACCGGTGACTAAAGAAATTTTAAAAAATATTTACAAAAATATGCCATCAGAACTTCAGTAGTAGCACCCTGTATCTCGAAAACGAAATGTTTTCTGACCTATGTTTATATGAACTTTTACTCCTATTTTAGGATGTAGATTACGCTGTTAAAATATGACCGTCTAATTTCGGGACACCCTGTATATGGATATAGTAGCAGCAGCTCTAGCAATTTACTGTTTATAATTTTGTACAACCTGGTACATTTGTGATTTTTTTAAATAACAGTAGTTTGTTTTCCTATTTGAACTTTATCCATCCACAATTACATGTTACACTCGGCAGGTCGGTATATTCGTGCATAATGTTTGTAAAATAAACATCGTATTTTCAAACAATGACTTTAACCCTACCAATTTCATGTAATTAAAACTGAAATGCTATGTTTTTACCACTAACAAATAATTAATTAGAATAAACAGCACTGATTACAAAAAAACCAATGTAAAACTAATTACTGTGTTAATTGTGGAATATATTATTAACTAGATACATTATTAAAAAATTAAATTGCGTTGATAAAAGTGTAAGAGTGCAGTGTAAAAAAACAGACATGCAATCTTTTAAACTTATTATTTATTTTGATTATATCCGGTTTAACATACAAATTTCAAAAACATGTCCAGCACCCCCATTCTCTCTCGTTTCCAAACCCTCAGGAACCAATTCGTCTTTTTTGAAAGGCTCAAACACACATTCCCAAAACTCCAGGATCTGCTTTACTCAGCCAGCCCCTTTAGGTTCTTTCGTTCGCTGTTGGTGCAATGTCCACCAGTGTAAATTGCATCAGTTACACCACCTTTATTTACTTAGTTTACTTCCTCCTTATTCCTGATACTAATCAGGGCCCCCGCAACTGCGGGCGCACCTCTAAAGGCACTAAGACACTAAAGAAATCAAAAATGTTTTTATCTCAATTCATGATAATATAATCAATAATCTTATCGAAGTTTATGTTCGTTGATATAATGACCTATTCCTATTGTGACAGAAAACATATCTATTTTTGAAATCAAATAGCTATTCAATTAGCGTTAATTATTAAATATAATAAAATCAATAGGTTAGTTAATTCTGTGTGCAACATGCAATACCATGAATACCCGTATAAAGTATAAACTTATCGATTTTTCCTGTCCAGACTCGAATACTGTACGAACGACGAGTAAGTTTCAAATTAGATCTTGTCAATTTTTCCTATCCAGACTTGAATACTCTAAGAACTACGTTTTTCCTGTCCAGACTCGAATATTGTACGACGAGTAAGTTTCATATTAGATCTTGTCGATTTTTCCTGTCCAGACTTGAAGACTCATCTACAAACCACGAGACCACGAGTATAAATAAAACTGCAGGAGGCGTCGTAATCCAAATAGTTAATATTTTCTTCGGCTACGTGAAGGTCAAAAACCAAGACGCAAAGTTATAGTTATAAATATTCGACGGAGTGCTTTATATTTTGTGTTGTGTTGTTAAATTTTATAAAATGGTAAGTACCTACCCACATAATACCTATGTATTTGAATTGATTTATGCCCGATTCGCCTGTTCCCATTTCGCCTGACCAATTAAAATTTCTCGATTCGTCTGATAAGCTCAAATTGTGGTATCGTTTCGCCTGACCATAAGTTGGATGGTGCGTGCTTTTTTTATCATAAGGGCCATTTTCAAAATACATGCAAAATTTGATTTATTAGGATGATATGATTTGAAATTTCAAAATCATCTTGATAATTTTTCCTTATTTTCTTAAAAATATTCATCATATTTCTCACTTAGCACCTGTACTATATTATCAACAACTGCTTCTTCTGATTCAATTAGATTGGAAGGAATGCATGTGCTCAAGTAAAATAATTCAATAGTACCTTTTGGAAAGCGAGACTTTAAATCTAATATAGTACTATCTAGTAAAGGAATGTACACACACACTAACTCTCAAGTACTCCTCTGGAAATTTCGTTTGAGAATTAGGTCGATTTCTCATTAAAGTAGTCAATCTAGGGGTGGATAAATCAATTTCTAAATTCCTAAGGCAGACATTGATATCATTTAATAAATAATCAAAGTTGTGTTCGGCATTCAGGCGTTTATCTTTTAAAACGAGTAAAGTGTTAAGTAAAACATCTTGTGCACTATTGACATCTAAAATCTCCTTCTGCAATAGTTTACTTAAAGGCAGAGTTAGTGCCAAAATATCACTTAGATAATGTAAAGTAACTATAAATTCTTAATTTGATATGGAAAGTATATGTGCCTTTGCTTTGTTAGACGACTCTCTTTCATCCCAGTCAGAAATTAGTTCTAAAGATGTCAAAATTTTGTCCAATGATGTTCGACTGTATTATGTCGTTCTACCCACCGCGTTTAGCATTGTCCAGAAAGTTGTTGATCTAGAGTGTTTTTTAGTACAAAATTACGTTTTGCTGATGCTGTGAAAAAGGAAATTACTTCTTTTATAGTCCCAACACAATTTTTAATGCTTTGAAAGTGGACGATTTTGACAAACTTAAGTTAAGTGTATGATTGTAGCAAGGACACCGTATTGCCAATTTTAAACTTTTCTGAAGTTCTTGAAGAGCCCCTACTTATTTTGATATTTTTACACTACATCCATCTGTGCATATTCCAACACAATTAAGTAACGGTAGGCCTAACTTCAACACTTCCGCTAAAACAGGTTGTCCTAATATACGACCAGGTTCTAAATTCAAACAATTTTTATCGTAGTTTTGTGAATGGCAATCCAAAAACCCTAAAAAATCCTCTCTAATTTCATTATCGACCACGTATCTTAAAACAAGTGACATTTGAGATTTATGTGCATTATCTGCTGTTTCATCGAACATAATACTAAAGAGGCCCGTCATCTCTTTGTCCCCGTAGAGGAATATTTTGTCGACCAAGAAAAATTATGGTTTGGATAATAGGCTTCAACCTCTTTCTGTTTTCATCAATCTGCTGCGACCTGGCGGTATCCAGCAATTTTCTGACATCTGTTGGAGGAACGCTATATGTTAATAAAAAATTATTAGCCCTCAAATAGCTTCACCATGATATTTGCTTGAATTGTGTATTTCAAGTACTCCATCTTTGCCAAGTAATTTTGCGAATTTTATAACAGGGTTACCAATTAACAAAGAGTCTTTTATATGTAAATTTGGTTGATTTTTTGAAAAAATTACACAATATTTACAAAAAATACCCCTTTTCTCTTCAGAATAAGCTATCCAGTCATATTTATTTAAATGATGATTATGTAAATACCATCTTACTACCGTGTGGTTTTTATTATGTTCTGAATATGGAAAAGGGTGCAATTGCTTTCAGCTGTCCATGTATTATTTATGGTATTAAATTTGTCTTAGTCAGAAATACTGGAACACCTCACTGCCTTCCAAATGTCAAATTTAAAAATTTCTGGTTTATCAACAGTTGCAACAGCATTTGAACTACCATTGACTCCCGAGGTTGACGGTTTCGGCTCAATGTCTTGTGTATTTTCAACTGAGGCCTCTACAGATTTTTTTGGGTGTTGTAAGTGCAAAATAAGAAGATATGGTACACGGTCTTTCTTTTATTTCTAAAATAATTATATTAGGTGAGAATTATGTATATGTAATGCCGAATTTTACCTTACCTATATATTTTGATCCGCGCAAAAACTATACTAATTACAGTACGTCTTGATCGTACAACTAAGAAGGATATGGTAGCACTGCTCTAATTTCACAATATTATGCTCAAAATTCAACTACTACAAACTGAAACTGGAATAGTGGAAATACGATGGGAAATAGGTATGTCGCTACACTCCGCCGAGATTAAAGCCTTTTAAAGTCTTTTCAAAAAAGTGTTACCAGTGTCAGAGTTACCAGTTTCTAGGAAACCGCTGATTATAACTTTATGCATTTTATCTAGTTTTCTCATTTTTAACATCATTATACATTTATTATTCTTGTAGTACAGATCGTAGCTGTAGAATTTTAACATAGAAAAAATAATTAAATTTTTTAAAAAGCATTTTCAATTTGAAAGTTTATTTTTGGCTCGTAAATGATTTTTTAAATTAATTAATTTTCAAATTTGGATCCGTTACTAATTTTCTTAAATGGTTTTTTTTTTCAGTACGGTAATAGTCAAGGGGGGCCATGGCCCCAAAGACCACCCCCCATCCCCGTCCGCCACTGGTAAGTATCTTTAGTAATATCATCAATCGATCGAAAACCTTTGTGACTTCGACCACATTTTTCACCAATAATAATAGAATGATAAAAATATACTTACTTTTAGTAAAATCTTTAAAAAGTTCATTATTTTTGCATATCTGCTTTAAATTGAGAAATAATAATCAAGTGTCCAAATAGTGCCACTATACAGTGGGTTTAAGTTAGTTACATGCATCTCTTATTAAAGATGTTTGTACAAGAATACAAGATTCCTTTCGGCAGGTATAAATTTTGACATACCGGGTAGTCGGGATAAAGAACGTTATATAAATAGTCAAATAAACTTAACGACACTGACCTATATTAACAAAATTAGGACCAAAAATAAACAACATTATTGTTATCGTTATTTTTACATAGCTCTCGTTTTAGTATGATAAAATGTTGCATAATAAGCTTAATTTGTAGTATATTTATAATTTTAATCGTTCAATAACTTACTAAAATCAAAAACGCACGACATTGATCAAGGTTATTTTGAAATATTGATAGAATAAAATATATTAAGTACCTACAGCGGTAAAATTAAATTGGTTATTTTTCTTAATACCTACAAGTATGTGTTGTGATCGAAATCGATAAAAAAATTGTTTAAAAACTAAAAAAAAAAACAGTTTCCAAAATAGCAGACATTTAAAGTTAAAATTAATTAATTATTTACGTAATTTATTAAATGGCTTAAATTGTTTTTAATCGTTTTCAAATTAAACAAGGATATAATATGTATTTTTTATTTTTCGACTTACCCTTAACAAAAAAAATCAGCCTTTTGTGAGCTGGAAAATCGCACCGCACAACCTTGCAGCCTTCGTAATATCAAGAGAGTGAGAAAAAGTTTTGCAATGCGATTATCCATCTACTAACCTTATCAAAATTATTGTTAACAATATTCACCCATCAACTGACCTGCATCTTATATTTACGAGGGATATTCTAAATATTTAAAAAACAATGATAAATGTATCGAAGTCCGATGTTTTAAGAAGATTTAAAACGGATTTCAAATGAGTAATCATCATAAATTTCTTAAAAAGTTCGATATTTTTGTCCGACAGTGGCTTTATTTCCGTCAGTGATTTAACACAAATCCGAATGTGATTTAAAAATAACTATTTGTGTATTAAGAGCCGATTTCATAATCGAACCTTAATGGCAGATTCAAACAAAGGAAGCTTCTATTTAAAGTTCACTTTAAAGCCTTTTTTTAAATAATGTCATTTCATAATGGTTTTCATAACTTACTTTTACTAAAATTTGCTTTAACAAAATTTTACCATGTTGGTATTGTCAGGAACTGCGAAAGGATCATTGTCATCTAAACTGACATCACTGGCCTCCCAAACTTCTTCCTCTTTAGAACTGGCACTTTCTGGCGGCTTCATTTTTTTTTTGACTGTATTTTCTCTGTTAGTTTCCCACAGTCGCTTTGCTTGGTGAAATTTCTTTTCACACCCGATGCCCGTTTGTTTCGTTCTGCTTGCTCTGCTTCCAATTCTCCTTTCTCCGGTGTATCCGTTAAAATTCTACTTGGATCTCGTTTACGACCTTTCACTATCTGAACTCTAGGGGGGGCTTTAGGAAATGTAAAGACTTCCATCGGGAAGACCATTGTTGGTAGAGGATCTCCAAAAGGCGATTCGTGACTTCGAGTGGATGGACCTGATGGTTGCGGAGAAAGTGTTCTTGGACGTTATTTAGCTTGAGAGTCAGGATGTAGGTTTTCCTCTAAATTGGAGTTTGGCCTATCCGTTACCAAACTTGAACAGAACTCATCATCTCCGAAAATATTCGAATTGAACGGGTAAATTCCAGTCATTCTGAAACCGATTATTATGTTTGCTGGAGTAAATGCCTACGATTTTTTCTACTTTGTGTTGTACTACATTTTGTAACATAAAAACAAATACCATTTTAATACCATTCATTAAATGATGAAACGTAAATAACGTTTACATTCAATGGTTCTACCAAAGTATTTATAGTTTTATTATTTTAAAATAAATTATCCAAATAAATTATCCATATTGACTCACACTGTATTCAACAATTTTAAGTACCTCGTACCATACGACAGTATCGGTAAAAAGCCAGCGGTGTTTTTTTTTTAGCTCGCGAAGTTAATTTTTCGTGGGTCAAACGCAAATTTGTAGATAAAACGATGGAATTTTGATTTCAAAGCTCTGGTTAATAACAGTGATATATATTTTGAGGAAATTTTCCAATAATCGCTGTAGGCGGATTTAATTTCTCAAATATTAAATTAGTACAAGTGTTTCCGGTTGAAATTATTTATTTTGTGCATTTGTACTATTTACGTCGATTGACGGATTTTTTTGGTAGCTGTTTTGAACAATTTGATGAAAACGTCTCTACAATAAGGAATTATTTTTGGAATAACTGTGTAGGAGGTTCGTACTCAATTATTACAAAGTAAAATTTGCGTTACCCATTAATTTAAAATTATTTAAAATTTACTAATAATAAATAGAAAGTTTCTTTAATGCTAAATAAAGGTTTTCCTATTTTTTTAGACGTTTATTTGGGTACCGGTTCTGATTGTTTCTGATTGTTTCCAACTGCTGGTAGAACAATTAAACTGTAAAACAGAATTTTGTGATTGAAACAAAATACTAAGAAGCTTTTTATTGTGGATTTGGCTGAGAGGGAATTCGAACCCTTTAAAATAAGTACCCCGCTGTGGGAATCATTTTATTATTTCTTTTCTATAAATAGTATTTAAGTTTAGTTATTCTACATAACTGTGTAACTGGTTTTGGGATAGAGTTATTTTTGGGGGTTAAGTTTGTATTGATTCCCAAAATCAGCTACTCTTGCAAGAGTTTAGGGCAATCTTAATATATTTATCAATCTTGAAGAAAAGTTAATATATATTTTTTTCGGCTTTATTGGAATTCTACCTCTTATTATTTATGTTTACCCTTACACAAGAAGTCTCACTAAAGAGAGTAAGTTTAGTAATTTAGTATTGTCTTTAAAATTTCCATCGCCGCTCAAATTACTAGGCGCCGGGTTAAATAATCATTTTCTTTAAATTTGTATATACTGAGCTGAGCTAGGCACTTATAACTGTTATTATTTGATGCAGCAAAAGAAACGTAACAATAAAAGCATCAAATTTTTGTAAAATCAGAATGACCTAGAATAAAACAGAAAAATCGATTTTTCTCACGTTCAAGTATTGATACGGCCATTTGAATTAACACGGCAGAAGAGAAATCCACCGTTTTCGCATGTCGACCCATTCAGAATTGCCCATTTTATTTTTAATAAGTACTTTACCCTTTATCCTTCTTTGAAAAATTATGAAATATACTTAATTAACGTCTCCGTTTTGATTTAAAAGTACAACCTTTATTACAGCAATTTAGATACAATTTGCTGGAAGCTTTTTCGCAAATTTTATTTTTAATAATAAACACTATCACAGTTATAAGAAATAAGCAAATTTAACGCTCACAAGCAAGAAAATTTCAAATTCATAAAAATTACTATAGGTGACAACAAACAAAACAAGGCCAACGTGCCAACTGATTTAAAAAAATCGATGTAAGTAAAATAATGTATTCATGTCTAAATATAATATTTATTGTAAACTAGTCACAATATGTATCTTACGAAGTGTAGTTTATTTTATTATAAGTTTCTATAATATAAAATTTTACAGTTATAGATGCTTACTTACAAACAACAATAACTAAGCATAACATTTACCTAACTAAAAAAGAAAATTTATTTTTTATAGAGTTTTAATGTTAGATAAAGAGTTATTACTCTTATCTTTTTTTTGGCCCCAATTTTGTGCCATTGTAAATGACTTTATAAAATATTAAACATTTAGAACAGCGGCAGCATATATATCGTTCCTAGTGCCGATAAAGCACTTTCTAGAGATGATGTTGTTCTATACTTTTTAGAAGATATTATCAAATATTATGAGACTATTTTTACTGATGGTACTGTAAGCAAAATAAAAAGGGAAAAGCTGAAATTAAAGGATGAGGTAATACCATGTACATTCCCAAATCTCCCTTTATACTTGTATTACAACAATAAAAAAATCTGTTAACTGTGTTTTATTTTACTCTTAAAACTATATATTGGTTCAAATAAAAAAAATTTGCCACAAAATTGTACTTATCAAATTTCAGCAACTAAGAAACCTTTTCGAATTTGGTCATACCTACCTAATTTGTATTTTATATAGATAAAATTAAATAACTTATCAATTAAAACATGCAAGACTTATTTAGAAATAAATACAACAGTATGTTCTGTGCTTTATTTACCTAAACAAGTTTATTTTTATTATTTTGACAAAATTATGTATAATTTCCATAAAAAGCCATGTATTTTGAACAGCGTATGCAGTACCAGCGCCCATGCGGTTAATTATAGAAGCTCAATTAGCATGCGTTTTTTGGGACCGTATTTTGAGTATGCCGATTCGTCTCCTTATCTCTAGTCTTCATAGTTCAGCCAAAGGACCCCGCAATAATCTTATGGAAATTGGGTTTCTGTCAAATTGTCTGAATTTTTGATATGTTGTAGATTTTGTCATCCTGAACAAAAGTCTCCATAGGCACAAAGTGCCAAAATCAATATTTTGACAGCTACGGAGCTGCCAAAGCTCCCCTGACCCGTTGCAAAACTAGTCATTTTCAATACTATTTATAGATGTCAAAAGCATATTTTAATTATTTTAATATATAGGGTAATGTTTTTGAGGTCACTGGATTCAACCCTCATGTCAGATTGGACAAATTGACCGTTGACAGCTGTCAATTCACTGTCACCGAGGAATATAAAAGTAAATATCCTCTTTTCACATTGAGAGTTTGGGTTTTGAGGTCGCTGAATTCAATTCTCAGCTGTCAATTGTCAATTTGTCCAATCTGATATGAGAATTGAATTCAAAAACCTCAAAAACCCAAACTCTCAATGTGAAAAGAGGATATTTACTTTTATATTCCTCGTTGACAGCCAATTGACAGCTGTCAACTGTCAATTTGTCCAATCTGACATGATTTACGACTTACATTAATAAGTAGATTAATAAATTGAACCTTTTTCAATTCTTTTAAAACTTCAAATTGATGAAAACACAAAGACAAAAACCGCGTCGGCGCCTATAGGACCGGCGCCCTTTGGTGTTAGAACCGGCGCCTACCGGCGCTTGTAGGTTTCCCGGTGGGCCCATCCGCTCCTGCCAGAGTTACGTGTAAAATACATTAATTTTAAGGTGAAGGGGGGAGAAAAAGTCCTTTATATCTCACAAGGAAAGTCAATGTTTAATTATTCAACAAAACATTGAGTGCGACCGGTTTCGAAGTAACATCACTTCATCTTCAGGCTCGCCTAGTGGAAAGGAGAATATGTGGTGTAAGGTGTGTTGACTTTGAGCCCACAATATATAAAATAGTAAAAAATAGAAAAACTCACCATACTCTCCATCCACTAGGGAATACTACAGACAAGTTTCATCAAAACGTGGGGGATGAAATAAATTGTAAAACAAAACAATGTTACAAGTTATAAAAGTTAAAAATATTTGAAAAACAAATATTAGTCGATATAAACAGTTAAAAATTTTAAAATATTCAAGACGATACAAAAACAAATTACATACATTAAACAGATTAAAAGATAAGGCCTATTTTAAGCAAACATTGCTGTTTTTTATAAAAATCTAACATTTTTGAAAGGAGACCTGTCAAGTTAAGGCCTCTACAGGTGGTGGTAAGTACTAAAGAAAAATTCTTGGATAAAGTCAACACACCTTACACCACATATTCTCCTTTCCACTAGGCGAGCCTGAAGATGAAGTGATGTTACTTC